TATATTTTTGCTTGAAAATGAGCCTCAAACTTATAAAGCAGCTATGTCATCTTCAGATTCAGCATTTTGGAAAAAGGCAGTCAATAGTGAGATTCAATCAGTTTTGGATAACCATACATGTGAATTGGTTGATCTTCCTCCGGAAAATAAGCCTTTAGGTTCGAAATGGGTCGTTAAACGGAAAATGAAAGCTGATGGTACTATTGACAAATATAAGGCAAGACTTGTTGTCAAAGGTGATAGACAAAAGAAAGGCATTGATTACTTTGACACTTACTCGCTAGTAACGAGGATAACATCTATTAGGGTGTTAGTGGCACTGTCGGCCGTGTATGGTCTTGAAATCCATCAAATGTATGTTAAAACAACTTTCTTAAATGGAGAATTGGAGTAAGAGATTTACATGGAACAACCTGAGGGTTTTTTGGTTTCGGGTAAAGAAAATAAATTGTGCAAACTAGTTAAGTCGCTTTATGGACTTAAACAAGCACCCAAACAATGACATACCAAATTTGATCAAACAATGTTGGCAAGTGGGTTTAAAATCAACGAGTGTGACAAATGTGTTTACATTAAAAACACTCCAGGTCATAAAGTCATTGTTTGTTTATATGTTGATAATGAGCAAAAATATGGCAAGATATAAATGCTACTAAGCGCATGTTGGCTAGCAAATTCGACATGAAAGACTTAGGAGCTGCTAATGTGGTCTTAGGAATCAGAATTCACAAGGCTCCACAAGGTCTAGCATTATCACAGTCTCACTACATTAAAAAATTACTTGACAAGTTCAAGTATTTGGATTTCAAGATTGCCAAGACTCCAATTGACGTGAGTTATGCACTTCAACACGATGAAGGTGAAAGTGACTCAAAACTGAACTATGCAAGAGTATTGGGAAGCTTGATGTATATCATGAATTGTACGCGACCAGATATAGCATGTGCTATTAGCAAACTGAGTCGGTTTAGAAGCAATCCCAATCAAATACATTGGATGGCATTGAAACGAGTTTTGGGGCATCTGAAACATACCCAAAATTATGCTTTGCATTATAATAAATATCCCTCCGTGATCGAGGGATATAGTGATGCAAATTGGATCAACGGATCATCTGAAGTTAAATCCACGAGTGGATATGTTTTCACAACTGGGGGTGCAGCAGTGTCTTGGAAATTATCCAAACAAATGTGCATCGCCCGTTCTACAATGGAATCTGAATTCATAGCTTTAGACAAGGCCGGTGAAGAAGCTGAATGGCTCCGAAATTTCTTGGAAGATATTCCATTTTGGCCCAAACCTTTGGCACCTATATGTATACATTGTGATAGTCAAGCGGAAATAGGTAAGGCAGGGAGCATTATGTATAACGAAAAATCTCGTCATATATGACAGAGACACAATACCGTTAGACAACTACTCTCTAGTGGTGTTATCACATAAAGTTAAGAGATAACGTGTCGGATCCACTTACAAAAGGCCTATCTAGAGAGGCAGTTGAAAGATGATCAAAGGGAATAGGGTTAAGGCCTAGGACAAGTCATCATGGCAGTAACTCTACCTAGCATACTGGAGATCCCAAGAGTTAGGTTCAAAGAGATCAAACAAAGTTATGAATGACTGTTCAACATTGTCAAATAACTCAACCCATTCTCGTGATGAAGACAATGTTCAGAAATCGAGGTAAACCATTAAGGCTTTTGATGAGTCAATAAAAAAGCTTTTTAATGATTTGCTAAGTCTGGCAGGATATGACCAGATAGTGTGTCTATAGGATTACACGTTTAGAAATCACCTATGTGAGTGTGAATTGTAAGCCGCTTCAATGGGAATGAAAGTAAAGGCCCATTATCTAAGCACTCATGAAACCAGGCGGTGTTCATGGCTGAAACGAACACAACCGTGAGAACCATAGATGGTTAAGGGTTGATTGTGTCACTTATGTTGTCTAGGTATACAACAAAGCTCGATGATTCAAAGATATCAAATCTACCGATTGACCGAGTATATCCAATATAAGTTCACTACGAAAAGTTCAAAGGGAAACCTACTTATCCAGATGCAATCACACTCGTCCGTGCATTCCTTTGTCTTATAGTCATTCCCAATTTATGTGGGAGATTGTTGTGTTTAAACTTGGGTAGCTTAAAATAAAGGGTGAATGAGAAATGGAGGGAAAATGAGATATTTGAGTTTCCCTCCTTGGCAAAGGGATATTATCCCATGTGGGAGGAAGAAAAGACTTTTGATTGGTATACATACAATTGCTCTTCTTCTAGCTCTTAAGGAGTTAAGAAGAAGGCAAGCCTCGCGCCGTCGTCGTCGTCGCTTGCTCGGCTCGGCTTCGGCTTCGGATTAGGATTTGGTCAAAAATTGATCGATTAATCTTTTTGGACAAAATTTTTTCCAATTATTTAATTAATTAATTTCTTCCATTTTTTGGTACTAACACTCCGATGAGTTAAATCGTTCTATCCTGGGAGGATGATATTCCAGCACCTCGGGTACTTGAGGGGAATAATTTCCTTAAGGATACACTGTGCATTCAATGGGCTTGATTTATTCCGAATTTTCAGATATTATTTCGATATTCTGTTGCTACTAACTTTCTGTTTCTGTTTCTATTTCAGAAAGTTTACTGTTTTTATTATTTATTACAGATACATATTTCCTAACACTTATTTGAAAATTTTATTATAAAAAGTCACTTTACCCGAGTGATATTAGCTTTAAGAAAAAAAACATTCAAATTCAGTATTCACTACTATCCTTTTTTTTTTTTTTTTAATTTACTATTCTTGTATTTTAAGAACGCAAGCAAAGAAGAGAAGTCACAAAGGTATTTTGATTCAACATTCTAGGGCAGCTGTGGTAGAAAATATTTTTTTAAAAGTTTTTTCGAAAACCAGAACAGTTCAAAATAGAATATAGATTTAAAAAGAGAGAATTATTCTTTAAAACATCTTTTCCTTGTTACTACCCACACAATATTTTTCTTTCTAAATCGTTTTTAAGAAAAACCTGTTTTTTAAAAAAAAAAAAATTCAAAACTAGATAAGCCTAATTGGCGGATCCAAGATTTGAACTCTATGAGCTCAACCTTATTTTTAAATTTGAACCAATTTTTATTTAAAACTATTATGAATTAATATCTATTTGTTACGATTTTAGGGTGTGTTTGGTATGAAGGAAAATGTTTTCTAATTTTTCGCATGTTTGGTTGGCTTAAATGTTTTGTAAACATTTTCCTTATGAACTCAATTGGAGGAAAATATTTTCCTTATCAAGAGAAGGGAAAATATTTTCCAAAACTCCTTCTCAACCTTCCTCGTCCTCACCAACCCACCCCATCCCCACCCACCCAACCCCACCCACCCGACCCCACCCCCCGCCTACCCACCCATCCCCTCTCTCCAAAATGGCTTTTTTTTTTTTCAAATTTCAGTTTTTTTCCTTCACCACCCGCTCCCCTCCCGCGAGCAAAACATTTTTTTTGTTTGTAATTTTAGATTTCTGTTTTTTCGTTTTTCTGCACCACCTACCCCCACTCCCACACAAAAAAAAAATTGTTTTT